AAGGAATCATAAGCCAAGAACTCCACCTCCTTGGGGATGCAGGCTGTTCTGTCTTTGTTTGACCAGAAGTCCTCCGGACAAAATGTGCACTCTATTGAGTCTAAAGGGAAAAGGGTTTAGAAAAGAGTAACTCATTTGAAATATTCAGTATTTAAATATTACATGATTTTAACAGAATATATTAGATATGAATTGTTGTGCCTATTATGATTTGGTTTTAAGCTCACTTGTCTGATTGCTAATTTTGCCACTGTCACATGGTACACAGTCAAAGCAGCAAACAGGCTCCCCACGACGGACAGCCTTCCGGGACCCTGGAAGACAGCTGGCACTGCATACAGACACTGGCACCTAGGGAGCAGATAATGGCTTTCAGCTCTGTAGTGTGAAATGAGAGTGCTGAAATCACTAGTCAGTTACTTAATTTGTCCATTGCTTAAAAGACCTTTTTAATCATTGCTTATTTATTTTCTGAATTATTAAGAACCACCAACATTTGCTGGTTCCAGCTCCTTAAATGTGAAGATGTAGTGCTGGTCTTTGTTGAACACTACTGTAAATGTCTTTGTCACAATCAGTTCCTCAGTCTCTCTTCAGCCACACTCTGAATTGCTCTTTATTCTAATCTCCAGCCCCTGCTTTTCCCAGGCCATTCACTTTCCTACAACCCATTAGACTGCCAAACCCAACTACACACCTGTTCTTACTTCGCACATCTGCTGTGCAGTTAGCTGGCCTACTCTACCCAATCTGTCACTTGTTTCATTCAAGTGTTTCTTGGTCTTGCTTTTAGCCTGTTTTGTGTTTATACACTTTCCTAAGACCTAAGGGGTGTACTACGAATTGAGTTCAACATATTTACATGGGACTAGTATAACCAGGAGATCACATAATTTAAGAGAAATTACTTCACTATTTGGTCAGAAAATGCAATCAGGAAGGAAATTTGTAGAGGCTATAATTTGAACTGAGGATTTATTGTCAATAAGCTCTTTAGGAATGTGTACATCTATTCAATATGTATAAATATAAATAATAAATGGAAACAACTGACTACTTATCAGTTCAGTTTCAGGATTGATTAAAGAAAAATAGACAGTGGTCTTTTTATGTTTACAAATGCAATGTTTCATTTCAAAGAGGCTCTTGACTCGCTACTGTTTACTGTACTAATATCAGATCCTTCTTGCCCTGCCCACCTGACTTACCTCCACCTCAACCTACAGAACTTCAACAGTTGGCATCTGATGAAGGTAAAAACACAGTGTGAGCAGCTTGCCTCACTCTGATGCCCTGCCCAAATTATCCTGTCTTCCTGGATCACCAGCTCCTCTCCAGCAGGCTTGGTTCCATCAAACAACCCGACGTTGACAAACTCAATGTTTCCGCCTGTGCCTCTCTGCCAGTTGATGATATCGTAATAGGGTATGGAGTCACCCTTCAGGTCAAAGTTCACCTCCTCCCCGGCAATGTTAAATGTCACTTCTTGGAGGTAGTATTGGAGCTTGAAAACCAGTAGATGATATGAAATATTCAAATGATATGAAATATTCAAACAAGAATAACAAGATTTTCAATGTAATGTACTGTAACAGTAAGGATACTATATTATACCTGCCAGGGGTGTATGTTGTTGCTTTGAGCACATGAGTTGTTTTGAAAAGGCCCACTGCCTGGTTGACAGAGAAGAAGGTTGTGGAGGGAATGAGCAATTGCATATACAGCCTTATAGACATTGTATGCTACTCTAGGGCTGGATGTATTCATGTAGGCTGAATGCTGCTCCAACAGGGACTCCTTCCCTGTGCAGGGAGGTAATTGGGTGCCAGAGGACAAAGAAGGATTGCAACCATACAGAGCCTCCCAGAGCTCCTTAACCAAAAGATTATTTGGATACATCTGAGGGTTTACTGACTGGAGGTAGTCACTGAGTCTGGATATATAACCTTTCCTGATGCCAAACCCAATGGTGCCCCCCATGTAGGGGTAATACTCGCTCCCTGTAAAGACAGATGCTGTGACCCAGGCCTCACTGGCCACCCATTGGATTCCAGTGATGTTCTGTATCATGTAATCTCTCAAGAAAGGTGTCATCTCCCCCTCGGCTGAAAATACCACCACCACTTTTGCCAAAGAACTACGCATCACCTTTAGAAAGAGGCAGATAATGGAGGAAAGATTTTCACAAGGAATAGAGAGAGTATTATTAATGGCTTAATGCCATTTTAGACTGAAAATATACCGTATAGACTAAATACGAAAAGGTCCAATGTGCAACATTTAAGAGGATATATTGGCAGAAATGCTATGTAATAATTTTAGATATGTTTTCATGAGTGTATAATCACCTGAAAATTATAATTTACCCGTGTTCCTGTAATGTCAAATAAAGAACATTTCTATCTCTCTTCTCTATTTCTATCTAACATTACTATTTCTCTATTTTTATTTTGGTCTGAATTGATACAAATTATGGCCTGTTACATTATATTACCCTAAAAGTGTGACCAAATTTTCTAGTTTTTATGAGAAAATAACATAAAAATTACACACAAACTCTTTGATGACACTTATGTGTAGTCAGCACCTACAATAAAATGGTCTTGAGGTCAAATAAAAACTTTAATGCTCTAAAACTCAATGCAGCATGTCTTTGCATTTACCTCAATTATCTCCAGAGCCCTCTGGCGATTGTAGAGCAGAGGGATCATTTCTTGGTATGCTACACACACTTTGGTATCCTGTAATTCTCTCAGTAGACCTTGCACAGCAAAGCGCCCGTATTCATGGTCCCCTCGCACCAGTCCCACCCATGTCCAGTTAAAGCGTACCAGCAGCTGAGCAATGGCTTTCACCTGGGTTCAACAGAAAAGAATGCCAACTCACTTCGACTAAAAACATTTAAAAAAAAACAAAAAACAGTTAACTGACATTTAAATATTGTGTTGATGAAATTCTCAGCTATTGATTTTACATTGCACCGCAAGTGCATGTGAACTGGATACCAATAGACAACACAGAAATGTATGATTTTTAAATGATGTCTTTTAATTGCTACAGAGCTGAAATTGTATTTGGACAATTGGACAAACTCTAACCTGATAGTCATCATTAGGGATCACTCTGAAGAACGTAGGATATTTTCTTCTGTCAGAGAAACATGCACATGAAGAAAAGTAACTGATCTGTGTACAGAAGGAAAACAGATTATAAGGTAACAAGTTGATTTTTTGGGGGGGATTACAAAAGAATAGTGGTATCATTACCATTGGGATTCTGAAAGGCTGCAGGATTCTTGACACTACAATTGACTGAGCAGAACCAGATTCCCCAATCACAGCGAGAAGCGGAGAGGCACCGCTGCACAGGGGAGAGTCATCCTCGTTCAGCCCGTTCAACACAGCCATAGCAGCCCTCTGTCCCGTCAGTGGATATGCACATGAATCAAAGATTTTGTATCCAAGGGTGTAATTGGGCAATAGCTCTGTACTCTGGTTTATCTCCTCCACTGCCAGCCTCATAGTCTGAACCCAGCGGAAAGCCCTGGGATCAAAGCTGTAGCCCCACAGACACAGATGCACACACCACACACACATGAACACAGCAAGTATGGAGAAAAGGTCAAATTAAAGGCATAGATGATATTTTGATATGAAGGTCTGAATTGCATATTTGCATCTATTTTTCTAAAAAATAATCAGGATATATATTTGGTAATCCCTTTCTTTACAGGTCTAAATAACTGCTAAATTATTTGATGTCATCTTGAAAAACTCAGAATTTGAAAAATTATTATAAGTAATATTACCAACATTACCTAACTCTTACACATTCAAGTATTCAATTCAGTTTATATATTTGTGTAACACAGAGCAGGATACCCCTCACAAAAGTACAACAATAACATAAAGCATATTTTTTTGACTTTCTCTGGAACTTTCTCAAATCTAAATAGATAACTTAAAATCTAAGTGCAAGTCAGTTCAAGCCATCACTACATATACAATTGTTTGTACAATGTACAAATTCATCCTGCATAATCCATTCATTTTTTTGTTTCACAACATGCTTGTTGTACAACATCTGACACCAGTTGCTTCAACTATGATTTCCAGTCCACATGTATTAAACTCACCCATTGCACCTCACTGGCGGTGGTCTGTAGGTGCAGTTGAGGTCTGGCATCTCCTGGTTATAGTGAAGGGGGAAAATCCCCCCAATAACATAGTCACCCCTGGCCACAAAGGCTGGCTGAAAGCTGTTTTGAAGTGTGCACACTTTGGCTGGTGATGGGGTTGGAGAGGTAAAGCTGGTAACTGGGTTATAAGATATAGTGAGGACAAAGACAGAGTAAAGCAAAGGAAATAAGGCGAGTAGAGTCATATTGTTGGACCCACCAAAGAGAAAGAAAGAGAGAGAGAGCAAGGAATTAAGCATGTTATATATAGTATGGGACCTTCTTATTCTAGCATCTTATTAATGACAGACTGACACTGGATTGGACATCAGCAGTCCCACCTTATTTACTAAAGTTGTTGAATGTAGAAAAAATAAGTGATGTAACAGGATAATGATACTGAGAAAGCCCTATGAAAAATATATTGACATATTTTTGTAACTGCCAGTTTATTAGGTACAGCTAGTTAAAACTAATGCATTCTAATGTTATATATTCTGCCATCATGGTTTGATTGATTGATTGATTGATTTAAATATAGGCTGGGCATCATATGTTGCACCATATTGTTCTCTTTCCGGTATGCCTTGAGCTTGATGAAAAGAGAACAGTGATGTAGTTTAATCAACTTTAATCTCATTCCTAGTGCTGGTTTTGTGTGCAACAATGTAACCCCTTGGGTGTGTTTGCTTATCACCGCAGGAGGCATGTCTCAGTATATTACATCCCACCCTTTATATTAGTAATGCCAAATTAAATTAAATCTAAAAAAAAAGACAGCAAGACAGGTGTTCTTTCTCTGCAGGGAGAGGAGACCCAACATGGATTCTAACCTGCATACCTGATATTCTACAACTTCTACAGTACTGTACACTAAGTAAATACGTAAGTAATACTTCATATTTACATACATTTATATAGCACCTTTTAAAACACACAGTTACAAAGTGCTTGACAAATATATATAGATATATATATGCTACAAATACACAAACAAACACAGAATCACACACATACATAAATACATACAAATACTAACATATGGTTGAATAAAACAACATTTTGGTCTAACTGTCTGACTGTTGAACTCTCCAGCACGAAGTTTACTAGCAGCACACTGATGGCTGATGAGTAATTGACGTCACTTTACCTATATACCTACTACTTTTACTTACTGTATATATAAAAAAATATATATAAATTCCCTCTCACCCTCTTGGGTCATCCTCAAGCTCGGGCCTGGGAGTTTGAGGGTTCTGCGCAG